GTATGAATTAAATTTCGAATTTGGTCAAAGTACAGTCGAGAATATTTTGACGGAAAAAGTTGAAGTTATCTTTCCATCAAAAAGTCCTCGATTCTTAGTTACTTCGATCACATTTCTAAGACAAAGCTCGTAAATGTGTCTCATCCGAAGAATCGTAATGTTTATTTCCGTTTCTGGCAAGATGTAAACACAAATCCGGATGCACACGAGCGTGACTGGTCTTGTGCGCCAGGTGGAACGCTAATCACATAAATCTCGTACAATCGTGTTGTAAGATCACTAATTAGTTTAGCACAATATTGCAGCCGTTCCATTAGTGTTCTCGTACGAAGAAACTTCCCGAAGCGGCTCGTTGGTCTAGGGGTATGATTCTCGCTTCGGGTGCGAGAGGTCCCGGGTTCAAATCCCGGACGAGCCCGTGGTGCGTTTATTTTTTTTTTTTTGCCGTTTCCCCGAATCATCCAGTAAGGAGGACGTCGCGGCGCATCGTCGACACGCGTCGCCGTCTTTATCAAATTTAAATTTCTCTCGGGGCATCGAATTTTAAGTCGCTTATATTACACGTGTACCAATCGCGGTCCGTCTGCGACGAGATGTCGAACCGCTTATACTCTTTCCACTTTCGATTTCTTATTTACGCGCGCCGTGACGTCGTTAATTATACGCCGCTCGTCAAAGTCAATTAACTCCTTATCTGCGCGACACGCGAGATAAAAAGAGATACATACCGGGAACGAAATCCCTCGACGTGTCGCGTTGCGTAAACGTCAGTCACCTCGCGCGAGGTAGACAATTAATGTACGGTCCTTTCGAGGGGTAACGCCCTTTTTTTAGCGCAACGAGGACTTGTAATCCGTGAATTATATCCCATTAACGACTCGGGTTTACGTCGTGGCCGACAAGAGCGCGCCTCATTGTCGGGACCACGCGGTGCCCTCTAATTCGAACATCGGCCTTCTTTGATGTCCTAATGCGTTTCTAAAGACAGAGTTTCTATTCGGCGCCTAACGGAACATTCACCTGACTGCTCTCTTAAGGGTTCATCAATAAAATAGGGCTAAATTCTCTCCGCCGTTGGCCCTGGCCTAAATGAATTAGGACGATAAATTTATAAAACGTGTTACAGCGGATACAAATTATTATTGTGAGGTCTTTGTATTTTATATACTTTGTAATAAATATATTTTTAAAATAAGTTACATTTACACATACTAGACCTTACGTCAAATTAGAAGCGCGAAATAATATAAATGCTATTGTGTGTTCGGATCTTCGTGCACCGCAATTTGATACGCAACGCCAAAAATGTATAATGCGATTTTCGACGATGAACTCACTTCTGCTGACTAAACCTAAATGCCAACGCAGTTGGTGAACGTTACGAGTAAATATACCGCACCACCGTTGAAAGCAGTGCGCGAAGACACGCGATATTAAGGGACCTTGACGGAAAAGGATTCTCTTGCTTCGCAGATTACCGCGAGTGTGCAGAGGACGACGTGATACGCGATGTGATCCGCGCCGTGATCGATTGCCGGCCCGTTAACGATGACGCGGCTTCTAAATTCATCGAAATGCCCGTTGCCACTTGGCTCGCCTTAATCGCATGTCAGACGTTGTTGCGGGATAATCAACGCAACGGGTATAGCGCGTACGGCGACAATTATTCCTTTCTCCGATGCGTAGTGACGGAAACGAGCGTATCGCGTTCCCGAAAGTCGTTTGATCGGTCGCTCCTGTTCGTAAGATGATTTCTCGCTCGACACGACGTGCGACGTGACGCGTCTTGAACGCGTCTTGAACGAAGGCCACAACGCGGGGCGATTATAAATGTCAATCGGTGGTCCAGTCATCTCACCGTCGGCTTCTCTTGACAACGGCGATAAATATAAAAAATCGGCCTACACGTCGGAATACCGAATTAGCGCGGAATTGAAATTTTGCAACAACATTGAGCGGCGAGTCTCGGCGCGATTTATCGCGACGATAAATTCCGCCGAATAATATACGCAGGCGAACACGCGTTTTGCGAGGTTTCGCAAGATCGGAACGCATCGTGTGATCGTAAACTCCGGTTATTTAAATCTCCGGTCCGCTACCGTGCACGCATACCTGGACACGTCCGAAATCGTGTGAGCCGCTCCGTAGAGGGGAAAATATATTTGAAGCGCGACGATTTATGCGAGAAGCGACATCCGTTGGCGCGTTGGAAATGGAGCCTGGACCATTAATATCCTTTTTTGTTCGTTACGAATATGTATGCGATGTAAAGCGTGGATTTTTTTTTGTTGAGATATTGTTACGCGACCGTTCTCCTTTATTTTTCCTTGTCAAATTCTTTATTGGACTTTTGAACGCAAATCAACTGCTCTATAGGCCGGCATAATTAACCTTAAGAAATGTTAAATAATGCCTTGTATCGTATATAAATTTTATATTGATATTCTTTCTATTTCGTAATATTTCTGCCTCTCAGTCTTTGTTTAATTCATTTATTTTTCGCAATTTTAAGAATATATGTTCTCTCACGGGCGGACCTGCTCTCTCGAAGCCATCACTATATCTTGCGCGATTCACGGATCTGTAGAGCCGTACAATTGCGGCTAATTCGGGGCAAAAGTTTCGACATTTGATAGGCAGTGTCGGACGTATTAAAAAGAAAAAAAAGTTGAAGAAAAAATCGTAGTTTTGCATAATCGTGAGATCACACAATACAAACGGAGTCATCTCGGTTGCTTGCAAAAGCGAACGTTTCGGCAAAAATGTGGCTCGCGCAATCGTACTCGCGCGGAGAAGGACGTGATCTTTTGAACCACGAGTCCTTTTATCGACAGTCAAAGGTACATGGCGTTCGAGGCGCTTGAATGCGCTTCTGTAATCCTTCTTCACCGCTTCTTCTCGCTTTTTGCTCGGCGAAGGGGGAGGGGGCCGGGAGGAAGAGCCCGCGATTAAGTAATAGGTAATTAATAGAGGCACCGTTTTATCCCGATTTTTTACCGGACGCGTGAGGGCACGCTCGCAGTAATTATAGCCCTATGTCATACACTCTCCCCTCTCTCGCACTCCTTCGCTCGATTGTGTTTGTAATCTCGCACGCATCGCGCGTACGACAGGGTCGCCCGTAAAAATCTGAACGTGCAATTAGGGCCAAGTCGTTAATTTATTTTTCTCTACGTGTGGGCTACGCTTTTGGCCGGCTCGTGAAATTGTTGTCCGGTCCACCACCGAAGCACCGAGTAATAGCAATGTAAGCAATACGGATAATCTTTTACGCGAGCGCAAGTTACTCCAGTTTCCGCGTTGCTATATTAAAGTATTGGAAAAATAGAAAAGAAAAATCTTTATTGAGAGACAGTTGAATTAATTACAATTAGAATTATATTAAATAATTCCCTGTAAAATTATAACGAATATTGATTATATTTTGGTAATTATAATTTAGTGTAATTTAAACGATTGATATAGATAAGTTCAGTAAATAATACATATATAAATCTTGTTGTTCCTAGCCGGAGCATAAGACCTCTAAGAAATCACATTTTATTTGTCACTGTTTCTAGCGAGATGTTTTCGAATCTTCCGGTTATTGCACTTGAAACAGTCCTCTTCCAGGTAATCACTAATCTGCCTGTACGTCTTCTACTTTGTGGATTCCATTTCAATGTTTGTCTGGTGATGTTTTCGTTGAGAGAAAACGAAAACATCGACAGTAAATAATAGTTAATTTACAGTAATATTTCAAAATTTGTTATTAAAACCAAATGGAAGAGGACACTTGTATAATATTTAGTATATCTGAAGAGCCCTTTTGATCTAATTAATACGCGATTCCGTATTGCAACTGATATTTTGTGTGCCAACAAGTTACCAACACACGAGTTGATGAACTTGCGTGTCGCGTAGTCGACAAACGGTCGATTCCGGGTGCTTCCAGAATGACGCGGACCTCGGGGTTAAACGTCCGATGTATCTCAAAGCGTCAAGGGAGCGAGTCGTCAAAGGTATGTCGTAATAGGTGTATACGACACGCGGCGGAGACTAACCGGGCAGTTTCGTGATTTACGCAAAGTAATCCCATTACAGGTCGCGTCGCTCGTTAACGTCACACACGCGCGGCTCCGCAGACTCGAACGCGGTGCTGGGAGACGCGCGAATTATGCTTGTAAGCGAGTAATGAACGTCTCGATAAAATTCTAGTAAAGGGATGCTGCTAGAAGAATGCGAGAACCACTCAGACCGAGATTCATTCCGTCTTTTAGTGCACCTTATTCGAGCCTTTTTACAGGTACTGAAATGCGCTCTTATCTTTAGCAATTACACACAACGTCCTGGTTTTTTAACGAGTCAGTTTATTCTACTTTAACTTATAATTAAATAATTAAATGAGGTGCGACGGCGGCCTTGTATTAATCTTCACTTGTTCTCTTTGAAATTCCATCGTAACGCAGAAGGTCTCAGAGGTTTAGGCGATGATCATCACGGAGCAACGATGTCGCGGTCAAAGGGAGAACGATCGTCTCCGTCGGGGAGGTTAATATCTAGTCAGGCATCCGGGAAAACAAAGTGAAAGGAGCACCATCCTTCGACGATGGTGCACACACACCGTGTGCGCCGGCACTCATTCTACGATGCGCACAGTTATATGGCCTATGAATCACGAGCGGGAGACGCTCACGTTAAGTCGGGAGTTAATTGAAACTTTTATTCGTAATTACGAATTTTTTACCTGCCTTTAATACACGCGCGTCGCGTCTCACCCGCATATTAATTCACCCTTCGAGACACCTGAGAAACGCGAAGAGAGAGAGAGAGAGAGAGAGA